TTCCCTTTTCTTCACTAGAAGCCTACCCCGAGCTAGTTTTAAATTATTTCAATTAGTATGAAATGAATTCTCATCAGCAGTCCGACTTAATTTTTCCGAGAATAACAAAGGGAGCAAAAAAAGGGGGACGTGATTCGAGCCCAAGTTTCACATCAGTCAGCGCATTAATATGAAAATAAACCTTTTTTTATCGGATTTTGTTAGAGTTCCTTCCTCTGGCTAATCTCTGTGCTTTTACTGTGTTCTTTGAGTGTGCCTTTACGAAGTGCCCTTTCCTTTTACGACTTCGAAAGTATGAGTGCTCATTGAGTCAACAGACTCCACATATCTGATTAATGGATCCATTTAGTATAATGAAATGGAAAAAGTGCATTTGGCTTTTTTCCAAGCAAATTTTCATTCTATCATGTTCTCTATAACCGTAAATAAGAGTCTAGGAACAGCATGCATTACCTCGCACACATAACTCCTTTCATTTCTATTGATATTGCTATTTTGGGGCTTAATTAAATCGTCGCCTCTGTCTAGGCTTTGAATTGAATTACCTTTTTGAGAGCCGTAAACATAAACAAGTGCGTTGAACTCAACAGACTGTTCTTGAACATTTACCCTTTTATAAACTTTTTTACCTTGCGGAAACTTCTTGAATAGCAGGTAGTGGTGCTTAAATAATAATGTTAATTACATGATGAATAATAAAAACTGGAGTTAGTGTAATGGCAAATGGCGCACTATCGCACGTGTGTGGTCCGGGATCGAATGCCAGACCTAAACTCACCCAAGCCAACCGAGCCATCCATCCCTCCAGGGTCGCTTAATTGGTACCAGACTTACCTGTTAGGATAAGAGCACTGACTTTACTCGGTTGACCTCCGCGACTCATTGTATAGGCCACGTACGCATTCAGTACGAGACTACATATGATTCTGAACGGGAGACGAATGCAGGGCACATCCCGAAAAGGGAATTAAATGATCGTCAGAGACTTTGTCGTTTATAATTTATCCCTAACTATGGATCTACTGATCTCTAAGCAACAACTTTGCAGAAACCTCGTAATAAAAGCTCACCAAGAACTAGCTTTTAGGTTTCTAATAAAGGCGAAGTTCGATTCCGCAAACTAGACCTCTACAACCACTAACTAAAACGGATATGCGGTAAAAGGTATTACTCGGGAACTACTCTTGCACTTCCAGTGTAAGAGATGTGTTAATAAAATGACTAGTTCACATAATATGGCGATTAACATGCGGCCAGTAGAGCAATGCCCTTTAGGCTTCAGCTATCATGCTTTTACTTCCTTCCGTAATCTCGTATATGTAGGTTAATGGTCTTATCCGCAGCAATTACTAACGGGAAGGAATTGTCTCTGACGGCTTTGCATTTGACGAAGGCAATTCATTCAGCACACATGGTTGAGCGTATGGTGTGTAATTACGCGGAGTGAAGGGAGTGGACGGAGTGTAGAAGATTATGAAGGATGTCAATCACATCCGTCAGTATCCATGGGTTTGTAGAACCAAAACGAACACTGGAACGGGTAACATCGCAAGATTCAGCCCAGTTCTTTAATCTGTCGGGTATGCGGAGCCAAAGGGTCCAGTACAGCAAGGGTAAAGGACGGAGGGACTCAGTCAACTCTTGGGATACATTATCTACTCGTCTTCCGCTCCAGAATAAGGTAATTGAAAGAGTTTCCACTGGGTAACCTTATCACTTATGAAGGTTTTCAAATCTACGACCAAATGCCTTTGGGATCAACATCAATCCTATATGTTTAAAGATTTGGTTTTTTCTTGAACCTGAACGAGGAACCGCCTAAGCGCCAGATAATCAGCCTTTCAGCACAGGCATCTTGGTCAAAAAGCGTAAATTGAGGTATCAGCAGTATGCAGAAGTGAGGTAATTCCCTTTCAGCTCCTCGAATAGACGTGAAATGGTCAAACTGGTCACCATGGTCCGAGTGTTCGGCAACATGCGGTGAATCGATTCAGAAGCGTCAACGATATTGCGAGAACGCCAAACCTTATCCCGATAAGGGCTGCGAAGGAGATCTGTACGAAACGAGAAGCTGTTCTCTGCCTGAGTGCCCAGGTAACGATCATCAGTTATTGTCCAATAGGGTAATCGTGTGAAAGGAAAGGACTAAAGGCGGGCACGTACGCCTGACAGCTCCTTCAGTGCCAACCTCAGTTGCACAACGTTTCGTGAATCATTTTAGCGGCTACTGTTGAATCAGTAGACAGAGAGTTACTGGGTTAGAAAGAAATGTGAAAGAATATATGATCAGATTCCATTACAGATGCTAGGTCCAAAGATGCGAACCTTGGAAACTGTACCTGCGGCTGCGAAATGGTCGGGCCATCGGGATTCTTCTTCGCAACGGCAGCGTAAGTAATATTTTTTATTTATTCTTATCTTCCTTTATAATCCTGGCCAAATCTTATTGACACTGTTGTTGTAATCAAATACGACTAACTAGTATGACGTGAATGTCTCATCCTGCAACTTGATTAGGGTCTGACAGCTTGCCGATCGAGATTTGTAATAATCGGGTTGACATATAGTCCCCCCTTATAACCTAATCTACAGACCAAGCTCAAGGGGCCGCAAAGAGATTGGGCATATGCGTCTTGTGGAGCTGGCTGGATCCAGTAGAATCGAAGTGGAATTTTCACTGAAAATGAAAATGAAATGAGCCTTTGCCATCACAATCTGTCGACATAGATCTTTTCAGAAAGTGTCCAAAATGTGAAAAAATCACATAACGATGATTTCATAGTAAACATTTTTTTCACGTTTTTCTGGAAGTCTGGAGTTCACCTGAGAAGGCAATAGAGCGCTTCCATCACAAGTTTTTTGATTTGCTTCTTGATTTTTTTAACTGAGTCAATTATTTTCATATTTTTGAATTATTTCATCGAATTCTCTTCTGTTGTATGGAAACAGACAAAGAAAAAGTACAACTTCAACTTTGGGTTATGATCGGACCAAATTGCAGAAACGCAGATTTATGTGGTGGAAATCAAACATGGTCAATGGATGTAAATAACCAATCTGTTGTTACCGATTTCAAAATTAGCGCCGATGTCGATGCACAAGGAAAACTGTTCTTTTTCGTTGGAGCTCCTTATAAGGTACCGTTTGAAAGTTCAGTATTTTTTTACAGTTGTAAACCTCTGATGAGCTTATGACTGTTTAGGAGCTTGTATGGTTTTCCGGATCGAATCAGGAGCAGGCGTTCACCTTGCCGGTAGATCGACCGATTTTTGTTGTTCTTTGGTTCAAAGGAAATGGTTCAACTCTTGAGAACAGAGGAGGATTCTACGTGGCTTATTCGATGAGGGGTTGGTCCTTGGCTTATTCATTACTTCTAAAGATTTTGAGTATTTACTTCTACCTAGACAAATTATCTATTGAATATGACCTTCTCTATGTTGAAGGTGGGCGGTAGGCTCGGGGAATTCAAAGGTTACGTGGGATAGAAACCGACAGGCCTTTTTTCGACAGCTGATCAGCTAAAGTTTGTGCCGTAATCCCCAACACCTTCGGCGTAGCCCCATGGAAACTTCCTTGGTGCTTTTTCTTAGCTTCTGCTACCAAATTTATTGTTTTTAGAAGTTCAACAACAGTTACCTACACGACCAACACCATCCTGCCATCCGTTATGTCAGGAAACCCTCATAATCGGTTGTCTGGCGGTTCTATTCATTCTGATCATCTTCATTCCTCCAGTTGTCTGCGCTAGCATGACTCAGAAGCTTCGCCGGTATAGTCTACACGAACCATCGCTCGTTGACAAAGAGTTAGTGCCTTCGTTACAATTTTGACTCGGCCACTGTCAAAGTAATCCCAAGGCTAACCCCTAAACTTCCTTACTTACAGGGAAGAATGTGGTGTAATGGCTCGATCAGGTACCACGGACTGTACACAAATGAGTGAAGAAAAATCAGGTGGATTGGCTCACAGAAGTGTTGGAGTTCAGCTGAGCGTCCAGAGTACACCCAGGTACTACTTGACCCTTATTACCTGTTAATCTGGCATTTGATACGGCATTTCCACCGCTTCAGTGGAGGCCCTTCCTTTTTGTTTGGTTTATTCATCAAATCATTGGATTGACGTCTTAGCTTCCCTTTCCTTCCCACTTAGCCCACTTGTACTCGTCAGGAGGCATCTGAACAAGGGTCCCCCAAGTGTTTACTCCTACTTTGGCAATATCATCCTTCAAACGTCAACATTCACCAGGGAACAGGGAAGTACCAGTTCGTAACTACGGGCCATAAAAGAAAAAGCAGTTTGTTGGCCCAGGTTTTTTTATTTTATGAAAGGCTAATGAGGTCCGAAAAAGATGTGAATTATGGGGGAGGGAGGGGGGAGGGGCTACAGCCGCTATTTATGAACCACAATCCTTCAGTATAAGCAAATTCTCATGATAATAGTTCAGGATTTTACAAACGACACGGTTTCCTCCTGAATCTCCATTCCCATGTGGCGCGTCCTCAATATCGACGTCAAACGACTTGGAATACGATTACTACGATGGGACCACTATTCCTGGATCCCTTCTGGCACCGATTAACGATGTTGACAATAGCTTACTGTCAGAAATCAACCAGTTGATCAGCCAGTCTGCCCTATTCTCAAATACGGTGGAAGGAGTGGAGACCAATGGGACCAATGGCCATCTGTAGTGTCAGCAGCCATCACATTTGTGATCGCGGTGGTTTACTGTATTAATATCGGCCGTGTTATTGTCTTTGGTGCAATGCAGATTTCTAAAATTACCGTACCCCACTGTAAAAATGTATTAAAATCATCATAACCAAGGAACTCATGAACCCAGGCACCCTGGCATGTACAACCAAGGAACATATAGGTAAAGGAAAAAAGGATGATAATGATGATGAAGATGGGAGATGACTTTGTAACGAGTAGGAAATATTGTTGTTCATATTGCACAAAGCAGAATTTGCACGTGAAGAAGTTAGTCGAACTTTTGTTGTAAAAAAGCCATCAATTGTATCAAAGAAGCCTCAGAACGAGTTCACTGCGCATCCATGTTCCCTCCTGCGTATCCTCTATGAATGCACTATCTCACAGCGCGGCCGCAGTCAATCGCCGACTATGACCGCATTCTTAAAGAGTAATCATTCTACGTTGAAGTTGCTCGTTCGGGTCATCTCTGCTTCAATTGAAGAGGCAACTATCAATAGAGAGTCAAGAATGTTCTGTGAATCATAAAATTTCAATGATTGTATTTGAATGACAGGTCTATTTGTATTGTTTTGGCAGCCTTAATAAAGGATCAAAGTTTTGCTTGGTATTTTTTTGCCTTCACTATCAATTTAGTGGCTATGTGAGGAAGCCCATGCTTCCTTGCTGATGGGAAGCAGAAATTAAGCAGTGAAGCAGGAATTCGGCAGTGTTGAGGAGAGAACCCGGGAAGAGCTCAAGTAAGATTCAGTCAAAGTTTTTATCTATGTACAGATTTTACAATGAGACTTTTTATACACAAACTGCGGAATCCGCTTGTCTGGAAGCTCTAGCACCCGGTGTAGATCATGTAGTCTGTAGCTTTGGCTGCTCGTTTCGGCAATGACGATAAAAGAATGCAGTTAGGAGACTTGCCATCCGAAAATGCCATCGCTACGCAGTCGATCTGCAAAATGATGTTTGTTAGGAAGTGGTTTGCAGCCTTGTGCACGGCGCGTAACAATTACGTTTAGGATATCAGTCTAAGAGCATCCCACACCCTCACACTTATAGAGCTGTAATGCAAGAAAAACCATCTCTCCCACTTCTCTCTCGGAGAAGTACTGAAGCACTGTAGCGAAACGTTGCAAGCTGAAGCTCTACTTGCAGTGCCCAAATGTGTGCGTGTGGGATTCGGTGGAAGAGGCGACAAGTTCCTTGGAACAACTACATGACGCTACACAGTCAATATTGTGTTTCTGTAAACATGTGAAGTAGAACCCCACTGAGAAATTAGCTGGCTAGCTATTTCAGGCAGGTAAAACTAGATCTGAGGTCGCATCGGTCATGAGCCACCCTGGTTTATATTGCAGAGGAATCGAAACTGCAGTTGAATGAGGTGCACCGTTTCATTGATTGGATAAGGCTCTGGCGTTGGAAACGTCTCATGAGCTTACTATGGCCCAACAGTGGCTGCTCGT